GTATAGAGCCTAAAAATATTAAAGAAGCATTAAATGATAAACATTGGATTATGGCTATGCAAGAAGAATTAAATCAATTTGAGAGAAGTAAAGTATGGACATTAGTTGAAAGGCCTAGTAATAAATCTATTGTAGATATTATATGGGTATTTAGGAATAAGCTTGATGAGAGTGGTAATATAGTGAGAAACAAGGCTAAACTTGTTGCTCAAGGGTATACTCAAGAAGAAGGGACTATGATGAAACATACGCTTCCGTAGCTAGGATGGAAGCAATTAGAATGTTATTAGCATTTGCATGTTTTCATGAATTTAAACTATATCAAATGGATGTTAAAAGTGCATTTTTAAATGGTTTTATAAAAGAAGAAGTGTATATGAAACAACCTCCAGGTTTTGAAGATTCAAAATTTTCGGATCATGTTCTTAAATTGACAAAAGCATTTTATGGTTTAAAATAAGCTCCTAGAGCTTGGTATGAAAGATTGTCAAATTTTTTAATTGAAAAAAGGTTTTTCAAAAGGGAAGGTTGACACTACAATGTTTTTAAAGAATAAAGGTAAAGATTTATTAGTAGTTCAAATTTATGTTGATGATATAATATTTGGTTATACTAATGATGTTCTTTGCCAATAATTTTCTAAGTTAATGCAAAGCGAATTCGAAATGAGCATGATGGGGGAGCTCTCATTTTTCTTGGGACTCCAAATCAAGCAAAGAAAATATTGCATCTTCATCAATCAAGCTAAGTACGTCAAAGATATGCTCAAGAAGTTTGGACTAGAAAATGGCAAACCTCATGACACTCCAATGAGCTCTTCAACAAAGCTTGACTTAGATGAAGGAGGTAAATGTGTAGATGTTAAATTATATAGGTCAATGATTGGATCTCTACTTTATCTAACTGCAAGTAGACCGGACATTATGTTTAGTGTTTGCTTATGTGCTAGATTTCAATCATGCCCTAAGGAATCACATTTACTAGCTATTAAGAGAATCTTTAGATACCTTAAGGACACTCCTAGTTTAGGACTTTGGTATCCTAGAGACTCTAGCTTTAGCTTGCATGCCTTTTCTGATGCGGATTATGGAGGATGCAAATTAGATAGGAAAAGCACCTCCGGTACTTGCCAATTCCTTGGAAATATGATGATTTCTTAGTTTTCAAAGAAACAAAATTGTGTTGCATTATCTACCACTGAAGCCGAATATATTTCAGCTGGTAGTTGTTGTGCACAAGTTTTATGGATGAAACAACAACTTTTTTATTATGGAATTAAAGTAGGTACCATTCCTATCAAGTGTGACAATACTAGTGCTATTTGTCTCACTAAAAATCCCATCCAACACTCTAGAACTAAGCACATTGAAATAAGACATCACTTCATTAGAGACCATGTCACTAAGGAAGATGTAGTTCTAGAATTTGTTGATACTTTGCATCAATTAGTGGATATCTTTACAAAACCTTTAGACAATGAACGTTTTTGGACACTTAGGAGAGAATTAGGTTTAACTGACCTATCTTCACTTAGTGTTTAAAATAATTTTAGCACTTTTAAGACTAAATGAAAAATGCTTATAATAGTAATTTCTGATTACATTCATTGCTATTAGTTAGGGGGAGTTTATTATTCTTGATGAAAAATTAACTTTATGTTCAAATGTAGTTTAAGGATTAATTTATTTGAACATAATTAATTTTTGATATATGAGTTGCCAATACCACTAGAGAAGATTAATTTTTGTATTCTGAGTGTTTAAAATACATATTTTTGAATTATAGGGCAGAGGGAATCGATACCCCCTGAGGGTTCTGGTTATATCACGCCCAGAACTCTTTCTTTGCCTCAAACTCTTTTCTCTCCTTCTTCACGTCGTTCCCCTCTCTACTCTCTCCCTATCTCCATTTTTGCCTCAAATCAACGTTTCTTATCGAAATTCTTCAAATATCATCTTCTAAACCTGCTAGCATCATTAAAATCGTGCAAACAACATCAAAATCCACTCAATCTCATTTTCAAGGTAAATTTTTCTAAACTGTCTATTTCATTGATTTTGAACATAGAACTAGTTTCAATTAGTTCTAAATAGAAATAGTGATCGAGCATTGCTTATTAGTGTTTAGAAACTAAATTTTTTCAATAAGTTTTTCAAAAACTTTGCCCATTAGGATTAGTTTAAGAGAACCTTGAAATATTAAGAACTCAATTGAGTTTTGGGATTGATTGAATTGCATACATGTGTTTTCTAAATTGCAGGTTATCCATTCTATTCCAATTTCCTAAACCATGTCCAATCCTAAACGTGCTAGGTCATCATCTAGTCGTTCAAACCGTCAATCCAACCCACCTCCAAATCCTCCTCCTATTCCTGAAATTCCTATTCCTAATCCCGTTGATCCTAATATGACTATCCAAAACTCGTGCTTCAATCATCCTGGTCCTAGAAATCATTATTTTTGGTATTATCAATATTTTGAATCTTACAAAATTAGAGAAGAACATATCCCTTCTCGTCAAGCTATGATAGATATCGATTTTAGATATCTTCATCTTTTACAATAGTGGAAATTTGATAAACTTTGTGACCTTGAACCTATAGTTTACCATCAACTTGTTCGCATATTCTATTCTAATGTCGTTTGTATTAAAAACCGAGCTTAAACCAAAACCATAGCAGTTCGTTCCTATCTCCTAGGACAATTCATCCATCTTGACTCGTCTTACATAGCTAATGAATTAGGATTAGATAATGATGGTATATCAAATAAAAAACATTTTTTAGGTTCTCGTTATAAAAGAAGGATAGTGCGAGTGTATTAGATCTTCATGATCGTTTTCTTCATCTAATGATTTCTTGGTGGTTTCGACCATCCGGAGGTCGTTACTCTACTCTTCGTGCTTTAGTTCTTTGGTGGTTACATTGCTTCCAAAACAATCTTAAAATAAATCTTCCTGAGATTATTTTTGCTGAAATTGTTGAAACCGTAAACCAAGTTCCAAATAAGAAACTCTGTTCATCTCTAGTTTACGGTTGTATTCTGAGTAATCTATTTTATAAAGTCGGACTTAGGGTAGGTCTAGATGTCGTCTTTCCTCTCAAGAAACAAATTAATCTTATTTCCTTAACGAGAGCGGGATGGATAAAGAATAAGGACACAAATCTTCTGAAAATACTCCGGGAGCTAGCAAGCTTCACCAGAAGCTGACGACGATCCCGAGCTTGAATAATTAATGCAAGATATTGACGAAGCCGACGATGAGCCTGAACAACACGAGGAACAAGCTCAGCAAGAAGATCATGTGCCTTCATATTTTCAATCATTTATGGAGACATTTGATTTCCGTTATGCATCCTTGGATTCTCGTTTCACTTCCATAGAATCTCACTTCTCGACTATGGAAGCTCAACAATTGGAAATTCTTCGGGAAATGCATGCAAACAATGAAGCAACCAACGCTCGTATTAATGAACTCACTCATGAAATGGCAGCGATGCGAGCTCATTTCCCTCATCCCGATCCTCCTACGGATGCTTGAACTTTGATCTTTGCTTTGCTTGTTTGGATTGAACTTGGATAATTGCATTATTGTTAAAACATTTTGAATACTTTTGGATTGTTTATTTTTGGTTGTTCGAACTTATGTTTAATACATTTGATTTGGATTTCGTGTTTATTTTGCATCTTTAGACATATATTACCAATTATCCATTACATGTTTATGAATATTGATTATGAAACTAATGGCTAACCTCTCTTTTGATTGTGTTCTTAGCAGTTTAAGCTATATATATATAATCAATTGGCTAAATGATTTCAAAACCTTGTTTAAAATCTTTTACAAGTCTTTTTGATTTAACAAAAAGGGGGAGATAAAAGCATTTTTGTAGAGGAGTAGTGTTAAAGTAAGGGGGAGTAGTATTTTTCAAAATTAAAATTCATTTTGAAATTAGAAAATCTTAAAATGTTTTGTTATATCAAAAAGGGGAAGATTGTTGAAAACATTTTGATGTTTCGATATAACAAATTAAATTAAAAGAATTTTAATTTTGAAAATGATTTTTCTAAGCATATTTGATGTATTAAATCGAATATCAAAATATTACTCAAAGTATTTCAAAGTTCATTTTAAATCCTTATTCAAGTGTAAAATTAAGTTTTAATCTTAAAATAATTTCAAAACGATTTTACAAAATATTGCGAACCATTTCAAAGCAAAAAATTCCAGATTGCTCAGAGGGAACCGATTCCCCCCAAGGGGATACCGATTCCCCCTGAATGGTTTGGCTCCGAGAATTCCAGTATGCTCGGAGGGTACCGATTCCCTCCACTGTTCAACGGTCAAAATATTTGAATTTTATACTTATGGAACCGATTCCCCATGAGGGGTATCGATTCCCCCATGCTCCAAGCAGAAATATTAATTGTTTTCACACTTAAATGGCTCTATTATCTCCACTAATCATCCCCAACGTTCAGAAGTGATTCAAGGTGTATTTAAACAAGTTCCGAAGCCTTTGATCAACAAGAAAATATAGAGAAACAAGAGAGAAAGCATCAAACACCAAGTTTGTGCAAATCAAGCCAAGTTTCCTTTCAATATTCATTTTTCTTTCAAGAACACCATTTGTGCTCATTTGTAATTATTTTTTAGTGTTCTTTTCTTGTTCTAGAATTGTGCAAACATCTTACCTTGTGAGGTTTTCCTTGTAAGTTTGCAAATGTGTCTTTCACTTTGAAAAAGAGTGTGCTCAAGAATTTGTGGTATAATTCTTGAGGGAGTTGTAAGGTTACTCTTTGTCCTCAAAAGAAAGAACAAATTAGTGAATTTGTTGGAAAATCCTTAGTGTGGATGGCTAAGGTAGTGGATGTAGACTTTGGTTGAGAAAGTCGAACCACTCTAAATCGCTGTGCAATTACTTTCAATTTTCTACAAAAGTTTCCACCAAATTTTTAATTGCCAATTCACCCCCCTCTTGGCTGATTCCATCAATCGATTAACTCAACAGACTCCTCCCCAGTGTCAATACACTTGAAAATGGAATAATAAAGGTCTTATTCCAATACCTCGGATTCTTAGCTCCCAACCCCTTCAGATTTAGGACAACAAACACTCTCTCAACTGACTCTAGCATCTTTAACAAACACATCCCCACCTTTCCAGAAGAACTGGAACATAGCTGCCCAATTCTCTTAATCACAGCACAAGGAAACACCAATTGTTTGCACCAAAAATTCATCACACCAAACAAAACACACTAATTAGTTGTAAACGACCAGCGTAGCTAAACCAACGATTAGCCCAATTTTTAATCTTAACATTCACCTTCTCCACAAGAACAACAAAGTCCCTCTCAGTCAACTTACGAGTAACAAGAATCACCCCCATGTACCTAACAGGTAACTCACCTAGCCTAAAACCAGTTACCTCATGCATGAGAAACTTTTGAGCCACAGAAACTCCAGATGTGAACAGCTCATATTTAAAAGCATTAAGTTTTAAACCAGACTGCTCATAAAATACTTCCAACACACTCTTTACCCCTAATATAGAGTCCAAGGTTCCCTTGCAAAAGATGATCAAGTCGTCAACAAAACATAAATGTGTAAGTTACACCTTTCTGCACTTGGGATGAAACTGAAAACCCTTCTGAGACACAGTCATATTCAGCAAGTATGTAAGAACATTCATTGCTATAACAAATAGATAAGGGGACAAAGGGTCCCCTGCCTGACACCTCTCCTATTTAAAAAAACCCATAAGAGTGCTATTGAAGGAAACAAAATATCGAGCCCCATATATGCAAGCTTGAACCCAATTTCTAAACTGCACAGGAATACCCACAGCCTCCAAAATTTTCAAAACAAAGCCCCAATCAAGAGAATCAAAGACCTTTTGAAGGTCCACTTTGATAGCACATCCAGGAGACAAAGTTCTCCTACTATATTCCCTAACAACTTCCTGAGCCAGAAGACTATTATTAACAATACCCATCCCTTCAACAAAAGCAGCCTGATTGGGAGCAATTAACCTAGGTATGTACTGAGCCAATCTAGCATCCATTATTCTAGTTGCAGCCTTATACACAACAGAACAACAAGCAATAGGCCTATAATCCCTATCCATACAAGGTTTTACAATCTTAAGAACTAATATAATAGCAGTGGCATTGAAAGTTGGCAGAAGAGATAAAAAAGAGAAAAAATACCTAACTGCGGCAATGAAATCCTCCCCTACAATATCCCAAGCAACCTTGAAAAAATCAGAAGAATAGCCATCAGGCCCATGAGCCTTATCCTTTATCTGCCCACAAATAGCAATCTTTATTTTCTCATTAGAGACCTCCCTAATTAAGTTATGCTCTGCCTCTAAAGAAAGAGAAAACTGAAGTAATTCCCTCAAGTCCCCCACACTGCAACCCTTAAAATTTTAATCAATAAAGCCAATCTGATTGGTAAATAATTTAACCATTTCGGTATACATACCATCAAAAGTCCCCAGTCTATGTCCTTCTTCATTCTGAGTCCCTAATAGTGTTTTTTCCTCTTCACAACAACCTTAGAATGAAAAAATCTAGGGCATTGATCACCCTCACGAAGCCAATCAACCTTAGCATTTTGCTTATAAAAAAGCTCTTTAACTCTTTCCAACACCAAAAGCTCGCTTAAAGAAACTTTTCAATATCCAAACCTCCCATATCAGCAGAAGACAAATTAGCCACCTGCTATTTTTCAAATTACTCTCTCTTCTTAGCCACCTTACTAGAAATATTCTCAAAGTGATTCTTATTCAATTCATGAAACCTAGGTTTAAGCATTTTTAATTTGCAAAACAAAACAGACATGGATCCTCCTGAGCTGGATCTCTCCAAGAGTCCTTAACAATTTCCTTAAACGTAGGGTGCAAATCCCAAAAATTAAAAAAAAATTGAAATGCTTAGGCCTAGAGGCCAAATTTTCCCTCTCAACCCAAATAGTAGCCAAGCAATGATCAGGAACACTTGGGCCTAAAAATTCTAATTGAGAATTAGGAAACACAAAATACCAAGTAACATTAACCAAAATCCTGTCAAGTATCCTAGCAAGGAAGTTAACAGTTTGCTTATTTAACTAGGTGAACAAAAGACATGTGTAAAGATGGTCAACAAGACCCAGCTCACCCATACAACAAGACATATCCTCCATATCATGAGCAACACCAAAACTATGTCCCTCCCAATTAGAACTCTCAACAACTCGAACAATGACATTAAAGTCACCCCACCGCCCAAGCCTTACTACCAACCAGAGTCTCAATCCCATGTAATTGTTGCCAAAGAGACTTCCTAGAAACACCATCATTAAAATCATACACTGCAGAAATAATCAAATTCTTACCTCCGAACCTATCATGAATAGTAATAGACTGATCAGCAAGACTAATAATAGAAAAGTTCAAACCAGACCTCCAAATAACCTAAATTTTAGCATTGCCCACAACATTATAGTTCCAGTAACAATTCCAATCAATAGAAAAATTTAAAAATAGCAGTAGCCTTAGGTTCTCTAACCCTAGTCTCTAACAAACATAACACCTCAACTTTAAGAAACTTAGCCCTCTGCATCATATTTCGTTGTTTAAGGGGAAAATTAAATCCCCTAACATTCCAAAAAGCTACAGACATGGAGAAAGAGAAGAAATTATACCTTCATCCGAGCTACAACATCCAGTCCAACCTTTTTAGCCTTCGCAACATGACCATTCTTATTAACTTTTATTTCTTAAAGGATGCTAGCAATACCCCGTGATGCTAACCTTGGCTTCCTCACTATCTCATCACAATCCTCCAAAGCATTCACAATAACTTCAAATTTGTTTGAGGATCCAGCAAACTTAGACTTCCCAACAACTTTCCCTTTGTCTACATTCCTAAGTGATTGAGCCTTAGCACAATTCACAAGAACATCCACAGCAGAGCCATTAGACCCAATCAAAACCACTTTAGCATAACAATTCCCAAGAGAGATGTCACCCTCTCTTGAAGAATTGTCACATTCGAGTAATACCAATAGAAACCACCTTCTCAAAACCAGTACCAGCACTAGACAAAAAACTATTCATTTTCCCTCAGGGATGGACCTAGGCGGGGGCAGTCGCCCCCTTAAAAATATAAAATTGCCATATATTTTGATTTTTCTATGTATTTTCTATTGAAAATTTGTTTTCTCCCCCTAAAATTTTATTCGCCCCCTTGGAATTTTCTAAGTTCAAGTTCGCCCCCTCTAATAGAAAATCTTGCGTCTGTCTCTACCTGTTCTTGAGGTAAGATACCCTGACCAGCAACCACCTTTAAAAAACTATCCCCCTTCAAACCAGCATCAACAAGAGGCACTGAGGGAATCACCTTTTCTAAACCCTCATCATTATTAACATAAGTTTTACCCAAATGACCAAAAGATTTACACTTGGAGCAATACGGCGAGAACCAAGGGATAACCACCTTAACCTTAATCACGAAACCATCCCTCGTCTTCACAAAAATCGAACAAAAAAACTTAGCCATAGCCCTAACCTCCACACAAACTTTACAAACTCCAAACGCTTCTTGGAAGCAGTAATAATGTCCATGTATAATGGGTTACCTAGAGTACTAGCAATATAACTATGGCTCTTCTTAGAATACAACTCTAAAGGAACCCTAAATAAATACACCCAATTATATATTTTAGCCAAATCAAAATTCAGTCGAGCCAAATTAGGTTCTCATTTCCTTAAAACAAAGTCTTATGATGAATGTGCCATGGCCCATTCTCAAGAACCCAATCACAAGAAGCATTATTACCAAACAAGAACACATAAAGATTGGAACCAGCAAGGCTTACTTTCATCGTCGTCGATTTGCCCCACATCAAATCCACAATCTTCTGTATCACACCAAATTCAGGGAAAAACCGATGAATTGCCCAACTAACGAGTATCTCCACTAAAGAGCCACTTCCTCAAACACTCCTTGAGGAGGAGAAACAATACAAGAACCCTCACTTGATTCTGGAGGAAAGAAATCCAAAGATTGCTCCTCCACACCAGAAAATAACTTCTTCCAGTCCATCAAGGCCACAGAAGCCAAACCAAGCTAGACAATTAAAAGAATCATGAAAAATAATTGAGGATCGGTAACCAAATCGTTACAAATCAACAAAGAATAACCCATGATTTCTCAAGAATAATAGGTAAACTATCGAAAAGGGAGAGAGAAAACAGTTATCGAACTGATTCTCCGATTTTAAAATATTTAAGAAGTTAATTTGGCTACATAAGTCATATAAAATAAGAAAGATGACAAAATTACCTCCATAATGTGATTGATATGTTTGTTTTGATTTGAAAATATGATAAAAGGTAAAAAAATATAAGTATTATTATTTATTAAATTTTCTAATAGTACATTTTGAATGAGGTGATTTTAAAATTCAAAATGGAATTAAAATATAAGTATTATTATTTGTTAAATTTTCTAATAGTACATTTTGAATGAGGTGATTTTAAAATTCAAAATGGATAAATTTAATGGGACATGAAGTATATTTTTTTAATCTTATAATTAAATTTACATAATTATGATTTATATTATTGAAAAATATAATATTATTTATGGTAAAGTATATATTTAGTACTTCAACTATCACTTTTATTTTATTTTGGTTACTCGACTATTTTTTGTTTTAAAATTATATTTAATGTTTAGTTTTGGTTTCATGTTGGTCACATGCCGTTAAAAATTAACAGTGATGTTGACGTGTCACCGTAAGATATCGCCACATTTTTATTGAAAAAATTTAGAAAAATACAACGTCGGCACTAGGTAACCAAAATGAAACCAAAACTAAATGTTATGTATAATTTTGAAACAAAATAGTTGAGTGATGAAAATGGAACAAAAGTGATAAATGAGATACTAAAACTAAGTTTACCCTATTATTTATGGTACGAGTCTGACGAGAACATAAGCCATCTCTTGTTCCCTTGGGTTAACTTCTTGTCCGTAACATTATTGTTTCAGTTTTTTTTCTTTCATACCAGAGTTGTATGAGTTTCAAAGTAGTTCATTTTCACGTTTTGATTTTGAGTTTTATCTTGATTAATCTGAATCGATTCAATCGCAGACCTAATTTTAATAGATGAATCTCTTAGTGAAAACTTTTTGTATATGAACTTAAGATATTAATTAAACGATATTAAATTGATTACCACTTAAACCAATTATATTAATGCCATTGTAAGAGATTTATGTCTAGGTGCCGTGCTTTTCATAAAAGTCTTATTGTTTTACATTTCTCTAAACAGACATAATCAATTCTTCCGACATATATTTTGCAATACCAATATATAATGGCTAAATAAAAAGAAGAACAAAAAATTAAGGGATAAAAAAATGAGATGATAGAGAGAGAATTGATGTCAAATGGAAAGTGACATCTCAATTAAAACCAACTGAGAAATGTTGGTGGTTTGTTGTGGACGGCGCAGGCAGTCAATGATTCAAGCTCCACCACGCACTAACTCTGCTCTCTCTAAATATCTTTCTTGTTACACATGCCTTGTATTTTTTTTAAAATTTTCAATAAATTATAAAAAATCATTTAAAGTATTTATCAATAGAATTTAAATGCGTTATTTATTTCCTTTCAAAAAAATGTGTTATTATTTAATTCATTAATTGGATTAAATATCCAATCATTTCAAATAGATTAGTAGTCGATGCATTATATCTAATTCAATATGTCATTAATAAAATTGTTACATCATCATCATAATTTTTTTAATACATTTAAAAATTTATATCTCTTATATATATATATATATATATAAATGAACTTACAAATCTAGACTCTTATATTATATATAATACTGAACAGTGGGGGTGAAAGCACACAAAGTCGAAGGCAGATAGGTCCAGAATACACAGACAATGTCTCGCCACAGACGCCAAGCCTCTCGAGTCATCCCACCGGACCTGAGATGGGAAGGAGAGGAGCAGCCACAGCAACCAAAATCCAGCTTCTCCGGCCAACCGGTCTCCACTCCATACGGTGGTCAAGGCTCTGATGCTTCAACCACGCCCGCCTCTGAAAATCCATCCACAACTC